ATGTGGTCGTCTTCGCCTCCAACTTTAGCGACCACCTGAAAAGGCTCCGGACGGTACTGGACGCAATTAAGTCATCAGGGCTGACACTGAAGCAAGAAAAATGCCATTTTGCCTATGAAGAACCACAGTTACTTGGCCATGTTATAAGCAAAGATGGCGTAAGTCCAGATCCCGAGAAGACAGCCGCTATCGCGCAGTTTCCTCAGCCGCAAGATAAGAGAGCAGTGCGCCGATTCTTAGGACTGTGCGCCTATTACCGGCGCTTCGTCAAGAACTTCTCACACATTGCTGACCCTTTGACGCAGCTCACCAAGTCGGACGTCCCTTTCGAATGGAAAGCTGAGCAACGTGAGGCATTCGAAAAACTTCAACAACGTTTACAGTCGCCGCCTGTGCTGGGTCACTTTGATGAAAATGCCGAAACTGAGATACATACAGACGCCAGCAGCATCGGCTTAGGTGCCGTTCTCGTTCAGAAGCACAAGGGCTGCGAGCGCGTCATCCCGTATGCAAGCCGCTCACTGTGGAAAGCGGAAGTGAACTATTCCACGTATGAGAAGGAGTGTCTTGCGATAGTATGGGCCACCTCGAAATTCCGCCCATACTTGTATGGCAGACCCTTCAAGGTCGTAACGGACCATCATGCGTTGTGCTGGTTGGCCAGTTTGAAAGACCCTTCAGGCCACCTCGCTCGATGGAGCCTACGGCTTCAGGAGTTTGACGTGAAGGTAGTCTACACATCTGGTCGTAAGCACTCCAACGCAGACTGCCTCTCAAGAGCCCCTGTCGGCGCACCACCAAGCCATGAAGACGACGATGCCTTTCTTGGGCCTATCAGCAGCAGCACCTTTGCATTACAGCAGCGCTCAGACCCGATCCTACAGCAGTTGATCAACTACATCGAAGGAAAGGCCTCCATACCGCCTGCACTGTTCAAGCGTGGGATATCCTCCTTCTGTGTGCAAAACGGGGTGGTAGTTAAGAAGAACTTCGCACCGAATAAGGCAGATTACCTTCTTGTCGTCCCAAGCAGCCTGAGAGAAGAAATTTACAAGCGTTACATGACGAACCCACTGCAGGCCACCTCGGTTTTACACGCACACTCCACAGAATTCAAGAACGATACTACTGGCCCCGCCTCTCCTCAGATGTTGCGCGGTACGTCAAGAGTTGCCGTGAATGTCAGCGCCGGGAGAGACCTCCAACAAAGCTAGCTGGATTTTTCAAGCCAATTGAACCCCCGTAGAGACTATTCCAACAGATTGGTATGGACTTGCTTGGACCTTTCCCCACGTCAACATCCGGTAACAAGTGGATCCTAGTGGCCACTGATTACCTTACCCGATACGCTGAAGCTAAGGCCCTTCCGAACGGCACAGCCGTAGAAGTTGCCAAATTTTTTGTCGAATCAATTCTCCTCCGTCATGGCGCACCTGAGGTACTAATAACAGACAGGGAAACGGCGTTTACGGCTGATTTTACTCAGGCAATCTTACATTACAGTCATACAGATCACCGAAGAACAACTGCGTACCATCCGCAGACAAATGGTCTCACGGAACGCTTGAACAAGACCATTGCCGATATGCTCGCTATGTACGTGGACACAGAACACAAGACCTGGGACTTAATTCTGCCTTACGTGGTCTTCGCCTACATTACCGCGGGGCAGGAGACCACTTAAATGACACCATTTATTCTCGTCCATGGGAGGGATGCCGTTACTACCCTGGACGCCATGCTGCCTAATGTCACCGATGAAAACAACCTAGACTTGGCCGCCTACCTTCAGCGCGCAGAAGAAGCCCGGCAGCTTGCTCGTCTGCGCCTAAAAGACCAACAACGAAACGACGCAAGCCGCTACAACCTGCGGAGACGCGATTTAACATACAGGCCAGGTGACAAAGTCTGGGTTTGGACGCTCGTTCGCCGCCGAGGATTAAGTGAAAAACTCATGCGCCGTTATTTCGGCCCATACAAAGTCATCCGTCAAGTGGGTGAAGTGGACTATGAAGTGGTCCCTGATGGGGCTAGCTCATCCCAACGACGCCGCGCACGACAAGAAGTGGTACACGTCGCCCGTTTGAAGCCCTATCATGCGCGCTAAAGGAGGCTCCCTGTTTACATCTCTTGTTTTGTTTATGTGTGCGTGATTCGTGCTTTTTTGCCATTTACTTTCGCACAGGCTGTCCTTTTGTTTTGGTTTTATTTTAAACAAAGCATCGGGTCGATGCTTACGTTGAGGAGGGGAGCAATGCCGCGAGGAGTCGCCGTAGTGCCAGACGCTACGGCGACTGTATCTCGGATGGTGAAACGCGCCTTGCGTTCCAGTGGGACATTCTGTTCCCCGACGGCCGTCGAACGCGCTGTTCGCCGCCCGTTAAGCCGGCGCGTCTGTTTTCCTTTAGTGGGCGCAAGTCCGCCAAATATACGGATCTCCTTCTATTTCTACTAACCTCCCGGTCTCCTGTCTTCGGGCTACCCTCACTCTTACGTGAAAATATATACGATACAACAGCAGCTCCTTCACTGTTGCTGTGACCTGATTTCACCAGCTCCTCCTTTGACGTCATGCTAGATGGTGCGGTGAACGGCACTGCCAGCTGCGGCAGTTCCTAAGCAATGACTTAGCCAGCGGTGTAGCCATAGGCCACGGAGAAATGGCGAAAATGCGGCTTATGTAGCTCTCGCGTTGAAAATAAATCTGGGACGAATTTGGTGCTTCTTGCTCTGATTTTGTGAAGCAAATTCATGCGATATCGAAGCAAAAACAAATAATTGACAATTCATGGCTGTATTATTCCAATGTAATTCAATTTGGTAAATAAAAAAGCGGATGATGTTCTCGTGAGCAGCCGGGAATAGTTGAGGCACCTGGCGGAGCAGATCTCAACGACGGATTTCTTTCTACGTGGCTCCCTAGATCTGCGTCAACAGCGCGACGAAGTGCAATGCTAACCCTAAATATACACCATGCCACACCAGCGCTCAACAGCAAGTGCTCTTACCGGATATCTAATTATTGTCAGTGAGCCAGCTAGACACCAGCACTTTCAAAATCTTTAACTCTAAATAGTGCTGAAAGGTGTTCGAACTCCACCTTCAAGAACAGAAGGCGAACAAAAGGAAGCGAACTTTTGTGCACGTAATATTGGCCCTTTCAAACTATTTTCGAATGCGCACCGAGAGCATTGTTGGGAAGCGCCCACTATGAGTTCGTAATGGGCCACGTGTGCATGTTGCAGCTGTAGGCTTTGTTGAAGCTGTTGTTGATCACGACAACTATGTCTGAATATTTCGCATTGAACGGGCCTTCAAAACACACACTAGTTGCGCAGCCGAAATATTGTGGCGCCTTGTGCTATTCTGCACTTCTGCCACGCGATATTAGACACGTTAAAATAGACTATTACCACTCTATGACACCCGGATAGCGTTTTTCTTTTTCGATGAAGGGTCGAGCAATGCGTAGCTCTGTTGTGGAGCATCTGCTTGCTACGCTGATGGCCGGGGCTTGATTCTCACTCAAGTCGAAGTTGTTTTGTTATTAATATTGAAGACGATAGTCTTTTTTTTTTGGACCTTCGATGCAAGAACTTTGGTTTGTCTGTCTGTCTGTTCATCTGCCTGTTTGGCCACCTGTACGGTACTTTAAGAGCCTAAATGGCACCAGACGACACTTCAATCTGCCGACCCCATCCGCAGCGCCCACCAATATTGCTCTAGGTTCAGCACTCATACTTTTGTGATTGTCAAGTAAAGAGCAATTATTGCGCGTATCTAAGCACCATAACAACACGTCAATATTTTGTATGTGTGTCGTTTACTAGAAAAAGTAGTGGGATAATCATAAGATGAACAAGTTAAGTGCCTTAGACTGCCTGACCGACGTCGGCCAGCCAGTCTGAGTCATTTCACACGTTCATCGTATGATCATCCCACTACGTTGTTTCCATCTGTCGGCTCCCATCAAGATTTTGTATTTACTAGAAAAGGCATACATAAGTAATTCTAAGAGCCGTAGCGTTTATCACGCTGCGCTGACGATGCAACGCTTGCACGAAAAGGCAAGTGTTTCCAACGCTTTGCCAAGACGACACAATAGTGGCAACTGCCCGTCGCCTTGCGTTCTATACCTTATCGCCTCCGAGACGGGCGCGCACGCCGCACGCTTCGTTTTCCAAGATAACTGACTGCCAGATAGCGCTTATGTCTTACGTGTGACGTAGCTTGATGCGCTCGATCGCCTCCGCTGCACGCTCTAGGCTGTCTAACACAGCGCCTCCAGAACACCATTCAACGATTTTCTTGCGCAGAACATAAAACATTTTGTTCACTCTCTCCAGATGCAAGACTATCGTCTTTCGATGACATTTGCAGTGTAACATACAGATACGGGGCCAATTTTTATTCATATGCATGGTTGTCAATTTTTTTTGTCACAACCGATGACGCTGACACCGGATTTTCTGCGAGACGAGCTCTTTTGCGCCATAATTGCGTTAAAATTCTGCCCGCACTGCTGCCCAGACTGTTTCCACAGCTGCGTGACCTCGTCCACCATCTTTCGCGTCACGAAACAATGCACTGAAAATACGTTCCCTCTCTGCCGTTTTTTTTTACTATTTACGCAATGACAAGCTGTGAGACGATGCTATCCGCAACGGACGGCCAGAGGCCTGCAAAGTGATAATACAGTGAGTCGACTCGTTGCTGTCACAATTTCGATTTCGCCGGACTAGAAGTTCCTCCCAGGCTCCTTTCCTAAATTCAAATATCGGTAAAGACATCTAACTCTCTCTCGAATGTTCTTAATCTTTGCAGCATTTTCTTGCGTTTGCTGTAAATTTCGCTGACGGAATCATTCGCCCTATTACTCTTTTGTTGTAGTGGATAAATGTGATATTGCTTGGCGCAAGCAAGCGAATCTCGCGCTGCTCAGGACACGTACGTGCAGGCACGATACTCGTTCCGTTTCAGCGATCGGCGACGGTTGACCTCAAGCGAGCTTTAGCCGGGTCTTTTCTCCTCTGATTCTTCAAGCACTCCGATACAATGGGTAAGTGCACAGTCAACTTTCGTACAACTCGTCAATCTCGACCGGCATTTGCGCGATCTCTCCAAATCAGTAATTCAAATTGGGACTCAAGGAACAGCAAAACGCAGTGTAACTTCCACGCGCTGTGGCTTCCGCTTGAGGCGACGCTTTCGTGAGCCAGCAAAGTAACATCAATTATGCCCCGGCAGTGAAACTTCTTTCAGCAGATAAGGTGGCGGACTTTTCATGCAAGGTGGAAGCTCTTCTTACAGCGCGAGTATTCACACTTCGATGAGTTCCTGATGTTCGAGCACCTTGAAGATTTTGATAGGAAGATAGATGTCTGAATAATCACGGTGGCACATCACCAGGGCATTCAATAAAAGCGCGTGCTCTATTGTAGCGTAAAGAGAAAGATTAAGAAGTCGATGCTCAGAGAACAACTTTTTCTTCACCTGTGCGGCGTATGCGTCCTTCTGTTTAAGTAACTAAATCCATTTTTCACAAAGTATCATGTCTCCGAAGAAAACAATCACACGCAGTTGCGTGGTCTCACACATTTTACCTGAACCCGTAATGTAAGGCGGCTATGTCATTCGTAGTAAACGCAGCTGCTGAATCAACACTGTCCTCTGTTGTTTCTTTTCTCGTGTTGTCATCGTCCGGCATTTATAAGAGATTTTTTTTGTTAAATTTTATGTTAACTTGACTCATAATACATGACTTGCTGAAGCTCTTGAATTTGGCGATTGTTGAATAAATGTATTTTGCGTTTGTTTAGCATACTGAATCGATGACGAAGCGTCACGCCGGTTATTTACTTGACAAAAACATAGCCACATTTTCATATTCTTTGCGCAAAGGGAGGGCATGGCTCAATGAACCTCTATGTATAATCGTTCGTTCTTTCTATGCGCTTGTGCATGTGCGCACATGCAAGACTATATTATTCTAGGTGGGAGGAGGGAATTCAACCCCCACTCTGAATTCTTACCCTGCCTGTGACAATTGCACGTGATATAAACTGTTCTAATCTCACCATAGTTACATGCCTGCCTCTCCTTTATATTTCTTGAAATTGTTCTACCGACCTTACACACTTTTAAATGCGCCCCGCCGCGGTGGTCTAGTGGCTAAGGTACTCGGCTGCTGACTCGCAGGTCGCGGGTTCAAATCCCGGCTGCGGCGGCTGCATTTCCGATGGAGGCGAAAATGTCGTAGGCCCGTGTGCTCAGATTTGGGTGCACGTTAAAGAACCCCAGGTGATCAAAATTTCCGGAGTCCTCCACTACGGCGTCTCTCATAATCATATGGTGGTTTTGGGACGTTAAACCCCACAAATCAATCAATCAATCACTTTTAAATGCGAAGCATTTCTTAACGAGCTTCGGTGACCTTGAGCGTCTCTATCTATTTATATCTATCTGTCTAGCCGCTTACGTTTCGGTGCTCTCGTGGTCACCCCCTTAACTTGGCGTGAACCAAAATTAGCATGGGAGGGTAAGATGGTTTGACGAATATGACGCGCATGCCAAGACATAAATAATATCATCATTCCGTCGCGTACGTCGTCACACACTTCCCGCCAGACAGTTTCAACACCCACTGGCGGGTATGTGCCGCTGGTATGCGGGTATGTGCCACAGGGGATTGACCCTCAGTATCTACCCAGGAAGAACTAGAACACACATAAGCAATTTTAACGCGCGAGCGTTATGAAATACCCAACATCGGTAGCGTTAACCCGACAAATGGCAAGAATAAATGTCAGGGTCCCAGCTGGAATCGAAGCCAACTATTCTGCGTGGCATAGAAGCATTTTACTACAGAGCTACGCCAGGTCTCGGAACTAATTTCCAAGTTGACGCTAATCTTCATGAAATGTCAATAGTGGTTGCAGTGCTACCTACTCAATTTTATAATCATTACATATGTACTCCTTTGACATAGCCTTCACGTCAGGTTAACGTTAATTGTGGTTAGTTGCCATGCGCTGAAGTTTATTAATGTAGCAGTGCCCAGGACCAGCATCCAGGTGAACTTCATATCAGCTTATGGTGTTGCTAATACGCATGTTCCAGTTGGCATCTTTGCTCAAGTGCAAACAACTGCTTCTATAAACATCTAAAACCCTTCTACATATGTCTGTGCGTGCAAAATTTCTACATATAGTCAGCGTCATTTCATGACGTGTCGCTCAATAAAAAAATTGCAACACGATCACCTTCCCTCCACATGCTTCGCATAACGTTGATTTCCAGGTACATGGGATCTGCCTAATTTCCTTATACTTTCCACAGCCTTTGACGCTCTTTGTGCCCCCGTTAATAGACTTAAGGGTCATTGCCAAACTCAGCTTCTGTACAGTTAATGCGTCCTCTGAACAAAAAAGCCGAGTAGGAAACATTAACGGCACCAGGACACTGAAATACCGGCTGTAATGTAGTTGAACGGCTTCACGGGCCAATCAAGATAGCAGAGAGGGAGGCGATTATTATTATCACGCAAGTTTTTCTACCAGTCACCTGCCCCGGCTCACGCCCTCATAGATTCGAATCACTCGGACACCACTCTCTCACTGAGGTTGCTAGCTCTCTCTCATTTTGTCTGATGTGAGTTGTGCACAGGACGCGAATAACTCACACATTCCTAGCCACGCGGTTGGAGGCTCTCCACAATCTTCTGTCTAAAACTGACTAAACGGCATTGTCGAACTAACGCTTGCCTTGCGTGTACAACCTTTTCTGCAGCTTCCACACCATCTCCAGATTCTTCGATTTCCCCGGACAGCGCTATTTCAGGAATCAGCAGCCCATTTGGTAAGCAAGCAAGAGTACGAAGGGAGACTTACAGAATTGTGAAGCCAGATTTGACCCAGCACTGTCAATAAACCGTCGCTCGCTGCCAATTCCAATCAAACTCAATTCAGTGCTATGAAGTGTTTAGGAATAGGTATGGATCATGGAGTTTCAGACTGAATGGGGCTTTCTTTGAAAGATAACCATGAAAGAAAATTAAATTTAGTTTAGCATCGATAGCATTGGAAGAAAATTGTCATTTGAAGTTTAAGAGGCATGCATATTTGGCAGATAAGATGGAAAAGCGGGAAAACTGGAGATCTATTTAGCTATGGCTAAGACTGAAAGCCTTTGTTTCCGACTCTAAATAATGCAAGCTGTTTTTATTAGGGTTAATGTTAGTAAACTATTGTGTAACCTTATTGATTCTCAAAAAACTTTCTTCATTAAATGATAATCACCTTATTTCAACGGGTGAATAACTATTAAGCATGAAACGCTTAAAATTATCTGATGCCTGTCTGCAGGAAATAATCTTTTGGTCCACTTTCCTTTCTTTTTGCATCTATCTTACAATCACTATCACTAACACCTGCTATACTTCCCTTGACCACAATTTTTTCTTAATATTCATCTTAGAGTAATAGATAACGTTTTGATTCACGATGTGGTTTTTTGTGTGTTGCAGGTGGTTCAGAGATGTCCACGTGTAAGCTTTTGTCTATATTCATATAAGCTCTTTTGTACTTGCTGAAATATCACTTTACAACGGCAGAGTACATTGATGCACTCCAACGTTTAAATAACTAAAATAAATAAATGAATAAAGATATGAACATTGTGGAACCCTCTTTGTAAGTTGTGTAGGTGATGTGCAAGCGTGTAGTGAATAAGTTGTGGCTTTTCCTAGACCGTTTTTCTTTTCGGGTGTCGTAGGCATGGCCCCGTTTAAAAATTCTCGCTAATGTTTGTCATCGTCTGAATTATAGTGGCCTACGAATGGGTGCCCTCATGGTCACCTCCTCAACGTGGTATATACCAAGATGGACACAAGAGGGTATGAGTGAGCGACTAACGTGATTGACTGGTGATAAGATCAACCTTATGTGAGGTACCTTGGTCCCGGAACAACTACAGCTTGCAATCATAACTCATAATAGTGCATTCATACTCAACCGGTACAAACACACAACCACTATAAATAAAAAAAAACATCTGCGTGACAACTTTTTAAGTCATCGCCCTGCATTCTTGAATGAAGTGTCATTGTTACGTTTTATGTGTACGTGTGATGCATGCTGATCTGTATGTACAGTGCTTTCGATGCAAATGCTATGTACGAAAACACTTGGTTACCTGTCTCATATATGTGCTATTGCCATGTAAGGGATCCTGGGCCTTCGTCAAGCTGCTGCGACAGCTTTCTGCTCAAGCGTCCCTCCAGATTGTTTTTTTTAACTAAATTGAATTGAATCGAGCGCAATGTCTGTCACGTACGGGACGAAATTAACCCTTTATTTCCCTCACGTGTCGCGTACTCACGTTCTACGGCTCATAGCATGCGGCTCTGCACCGCAGCTTTTTTTATTCAAATCAACGGAGGGATGCTGTAAGACACTCCGCGATTGAAGCATGAGGAAAACGTGGCGTCAATTCCCGTTGGCTATTTTAATGCAGCACTTGAGCACTGACAATCTCAACAATCGACCGCATTCATACTATCTATCAAGTAATAGAGAAATGCTCAGAATATACCCGACCACAATACATAGCCTTCATAAATTACGAGAAAGCGTTTGATTCAGCAGAAATATCAGCCGTCATGTAGACACCGCGGAATCAGGGCGTTGATGCAGTATATAAATAAATATCCTGGAAGAAATCTACAGGGGATCAACTGCTACCATAGTGCTCTATAAAGAAAACAACAAAATACCAATCAAGAAGGGTGTAAGGCAGGGGGACACAATCTCTACAATGCTATTTACCGCGTGCTTACAGGAGGTTTTCAGAAGTCTAGAATGGGAACAGTTAGCGATAAGAGTTAATGAAGAATACCTTAGTCACCTGCGCTTTGCCGATGACATTGCATTGCTGAGTAACTCAGGGGACGAATTGCAACTCATGATTACGGAGTTAGACAAGGAGAGCAGAAAGGTGGGTCTTAAAATGAATCTGCAGAAAACGAAAGTAATTTACAACAACTTCGGAAAAGAGCAGCGCTTCGAGATAGGTAATAGTGCACTTCAAGTTGTAGAAGACTATGTATGCTTATGGCAGGTAATAACCGCGGAGCCGAACCACGAGATTGAAGTATTTAGAAGAATAAGAATGGGGTGGAGCACATTTGCCAAGTACTCTCAAATTATTACAGGCAGATTGCCACTATCCCTCAAAAGGAAGGTATATAACAGCTGTATCTTGCCGGTACTTAGCTATGGAGCAGAAACCTGAAGACTTACAAAGAGGGTTCAGCTTAAATTGAGGACGACGCAGCGAGCAATGGAAAGAAAAGTGGTAGGTGTAACCTTAAGACACAAGAAGAGAGCAGAGTCGATTAGGGAACAAACGGGGGTTAGGGATATTATAGCTGAAATCAAGAAGAAGAAATGGACATGGGCCGCGCATGTAGCGCGTAGACAGGATAAGCGCTGGTCACTAAGAGTAACTAACTGAATTCCCAGAGAAGGCAAGTGGGTTAGGGGGAGACAAAAGGTTAGGTGGGCAGATGAGATTAAGAAGTTTGCGGGTATAATTTGGCAGCAGCAAGCACAGGACCGGGTTTACTGGTGGAACATGGGAGAGGCCTTTGTCCTGCTGTGGACGTAGTCAGGCTGTTGATGATGAGCACTGACTAGCTATAATCTATAGCAGTGTTCATTCCCACATGAATTCGCCAACGAGCACTATTTAGATTTTTTGTAATGGTGACGACTGTGTTCTAAGGTGAGTTTCAGCGTTACGGCATGCGATAAGCTACCTTTTGGGGCCCAATGTCGGCGAGGTGCCTGGTAAGCCCAAGCTTTGCTCAGTACTCAAAACGCATCGGTCCACCTCGTATGTATATTGCTTTAAACTTTCGCACATGCAGCTCCAGCTGACTGCTTCGCTTGAAATTGGTTGCCACAACGAGTGAGATCTACCGGAATTTTTCTCTGTACACCAACTGACTTGCAACAGAAATCTTCTTTAGAGACAGAGCACATCCCATAGCAGATCATGTATTATTATAATATACATCGGTCTCACGGTTTTTTTATGCATCATTTTGATTAGGTGGGATATATAACTTGGTTTTTTTTACTTTTTTTCCCCAGCTGGAGCTGCGTAAGTTTACGACTCTTTGCTCTTACCTCGAAACAATTGTGCGTGTGTGCTTGTGTGTGTGTTGACGCAACAAACAACTAAATCACAGAGCTATTCCAGCAACTGATTGTATGTATAACCTGCTGCGAAAATTATTTACACGAAATAACATAAGCTTGTATAAGGGCGGTGCCTTTTTTTTTTTGTCGGGAGTTCTACCAATCTCTCAGCTGTTGCTTTCAAGCTTGCGCCACAAGTTCAAAGAAGCCTCACTGCTGTCTCAGGATTTGCAGCACTTGTGGGAGTCTGGCCTAAGGTTTTGGACATGCAGAAGCATGATGATGATGATGATGATGATGACAACGACGACGACAACGACAACAACAACGATAATGATGACGATGACGATGATGATGATACAGTGAAACCACTGTACCGAACTTGGGTAAATCGAATTAACTTTATATCAAACTGTTTGCGAACATGTGCATTATTAATTGTGAATTTGTCGGAAGATCTTGGGCAGCACCAACCACAAATAGCCGGATCCCTCCATACACTCACCATCGGGCAGAAGCAAAAGCGTGTTCACACTTGATCTCGAAGGGGGCGAAAGCGTAAAAACTCATCAGAAATTCGCTCGCTTCACCGCCTGAGCGGCCGTAAATTCACTCCTCCAAGCCGGCGCGAAAAAATTGGCCCGATACCGTTTTTTTCGCCACGCGATAGCGGATTGCCTTTCCGCTTCACGACTTTGGCTGCCGGAACCACGTGATATAACCCACCAACCGAAATTCAACATGGCGGCAAAGACGTCGGCAGTGGTTCGCGTCTGTGCGCTTGCAAACCACCCGTGCAGCACGACAAAGTTCATGACCTTGACAAGGACGAGTTCATAGAGAGCTTGGTTCGGATTACGATCGCCGAGAACTGTAGACGTTGAAGAACGAGCAGCAGTGAGTCCCTAACGTATCTCGCTTTTGAACAGCTGGTTCAATCCACCGCCAAAGCTGCAATATATCTGTCCGCTCGTGTCATATCTGCCGGTGTATCTCCGAAACAGCGTTTAACAGGTGCGAACTGTTCCTTTGCAGTGCTTTGCCTCTTGCATTGCAGTTTGGTCAGCTCTTGCGTTGCACTTTGTTGGCTTTCGGGAAGAAAAGGGGCCTTCAAGCACTGCAAACAGTGCGCCAAGGAGGCAAGCCAAGCATGACAACATGCAACGCGGCAAAAAAAAAACATGACAGGAATGTCATCTGCTAAAACAGAAGGCAGCCTCACCGCATAGCTTTGATTGCTAGCCAGGCAAGATTGCGGACCCATGCGCTACTCTGGTCTCGTAGAGACCGTATACAGTTACTCTAAAATTAGCCGCAGGGGCCTATGGGTGTGTCCTCTCTTTATATGCTACCATATATATGACATGCCTTTGAAGCCCCGCCGCGTAGATCTAGTGGCTAAGGTACTCGGCTGCTGACGCGCAGGTCACGGGATCAAATCCCGACTTCGGTGGCTCCATTTTCGATGGGGGCGAAAATGCTGTAGGCCTGTGTGCGCAGATTTGGATGCACGTTAAAGAACCCCAGGTGGTAGAAATTTCCGGGGCCTTCCACTAAGGCGTCTCTCATAATCGTATGGGGGTTTCGGGACGTTAAGCCCCATATATTAACCAATCAATCAATAACTAGAATTCGGTATGCAAGCTAGGGCTCGGGAAACGAGCAAAATGGCATGAATTCCGAAAGTAGCGAAGGCAACGGTGCCGTTGGTATGCACGAGGGGCTGAACCACTGTGATCATTAAGGAGCTTTACAATAACGTTTGCAGATGTTGCGGGCGTTGCTTTAGTTGAGCGTACCATATGAGTTTTAGAATAGCATCTGCTCCCCCTAGGGAAATGTCTAGGGACTTTCGCCCCGACCGCAAACCCAAATGCACAGAACCTTCGCGGGCCGCGATTGCCGCACGCTATTTCGGATTTCCTGCAAGCGGGCCACGAACGCGAACGGCGGCTCACGTTATGACGCATGCGCAATGGCAGCCACCGCATGCCGCAAGGGCTCGCGGCGCGCTATTTGTCGACACGTGCCGCCGCCGTTTTCCGGCTGCTCTGGCGTTTTCGCTTCGTTTCTCAATTGTGTTGTGCCATAAATGCACCGAATGACTTAGATATAGCTGAAGTACAGCCACCAATTTGTTTAACCTGAGCGCGCAAGCATCGACTGCCTAGTCCCAAGCACCTGTTGCGGGCGTCTTATTGTCCAATTACGGGAATTCTTCCTATAGCAGAGGACAGCTGCACAGAACTGTTCGTCACAGGCATGCACGTATTCTCGTTTTTTTCGCCACGGTGCCTCGTTAAACGCTGATAATTAACTGCACGGTCGACGCTCGCACGTTTTGGTTAAAGAAATGGGTGGTTGTGCTTTTCACGTAGGCCAACACGCGTTCCTGACTCATATATG